GGAGAGAAGCGGTACATGCTAGTTGGACCCAGAATGAGTATAGGATCTACTATAGTTCCGGGCAGTCATGCAAATACATTAGTGCTACCTGATAGGAGACGCACATCTGAAGAGGTAAGGAATATTCAACATTTTCCAATTAAATAAATGCACAGTACATTCGCATTCATGCACTGATTATAGTTTGTGGAAATTTGTGTTTACACCTAATACTTATGGAAACAACTTGAGCGATATCCAAGAAGATTTTATTCGTAAGAATTATTCTTCTCTCTCTGTGTCAGTATAAAATGAAATGAGCTCGGCTTTTCTTTAAAATACGAGACAAGTCGTTTTAGACATAGAGTATATTTAATATATTAAATGCCATTCTAAAGTCAAACAACTTTTAAAAATCATCCAGCTGCAAAGACAGATTAAGGAACTAAAACAGATTTCAAAAACAGTATTTTAATTAGGGGTGTTTTTACGTTTTTCTTCTTTATAAAAAATATGAACGATAACAACGCATAACTCAACTGGACCAAGGTGAAGTTTCTGACTATCGCTTTACATGGTGTTGAAAATCCTGTTTCAAGGATGTGTAGTTGTAACTCATATAACGAACCAGGAATCTGAACTTGTTCTTTGCAACAATTGTAACGATACAGAGTAAACATTTAATATTCCTACATGATGAGAATACAACAAAAGAAGCATTGGGTTGGTATTACCCCAGGGTAGTCATTTTACTTATTTTTAACTAATGCATTACTAGTGTGTTGTCTGCAGTTAGACTTTTGGTATGTTGTGTCAGTATAATGGAAGCAAAGTCAGGATTAATCGTTTGTCGTTACTGTCTGGATGTTTTAGATGTTTGGACTCATAATTTAAGCACACAAGAAGGAATAGCCTCAGCCACAGTACCGTGTGATTGAAGGTGAAGGCTTGTCTCTTTTCAACTATCGATCGCGATTGGTCACAGATTTACAGGCAGATACAGAACAGTGTACCATTTAGCTGATACGCTAATACTTCGTTTCACCGAAGAGAAACACTTGGTCGCATGGTGTCAGTACAATATCACAAGTAAGCAGTGTGTGACGTTGTCTCATTGTAATGTGGTTCCTCCTCCTGATAAGGTTCTCACTTCGACGTTACCGCATTCTCTTCTGTTCTCATTCTTCCCTGTAACTGCGATCATTTTATTCCTATTTTTTTAAGAACAGGATTGTTTACAGTAGTGAAAAACACTGTGTTCTATCACGACGTCGCGATGTTTTCTGTGATTGATCTTTGAACATTAAGGACAAGACCATGGAACAAAGAAAACGTGAACGAGAAATAGCGAGAGGATATCTGGTTGGATGTGTAAAGTGTAAATATTAAGATAATTGATGTGAATGATAACGCACCTGAGATTGAGGTAACATCATTTTCAAGCTCAATACCAGAAGATTCCAGACCTGGAACTACAGTAGCTCTTATCAGTGTAAATGATTTGGATTCTGGTCTTAATGGAAAAGTGATCTGCAGTGTAAATGAAGATGTACCGTTCATTCTATCAACATCCTTAAAAGACAAAATGTTTTCATTAGTGACCAAATCCCCTCTGGACAGAGAGAAACAGTCACAATATGAGTTGACAATAACGGCAAAAGACGCAGGTCAGCCTCCGTTATCATCTGAAAAGACAATAAGTGTTACGGTGTCAGATGTGAATGACAACAGTCCAGAGTTTTCACTCAGCCCATATACTTTCTATGTTACTGAGGGGAATAATCCAGGAGCTTCAGTGTTTTCCGTTAAAGCCTTTGATCGTGATGAGAATGACAATGCGCGCATTTCCTATCATATTATTAGAGATGGAAGTGAAGATAATAAAATCACTTCATTTCTAAACATAAACTCTGAAAATGGCGACGTTTTAGCGCTGAAAAGTTTTGATTTTGAAACGCTGAAAACTTTCCAGTTCCAAGTTGCTGCCTCAGATTCTGGAACTCCGTCACTAAGCAACAATGTCACAGTCAACGTCTTCATCCTGGATCAGAACGACAACGCTCCAGTCATCCTGTATCCACTCAGCTCCAACGGTTCTGCTCAAGGTGTGGAGGAGATTCCCCGAAACGTCAACGCAGGACACTTGGTGACTAAAGTCAGAGCCTATGACGCTGATATAGGATATAACGGCTGGTTGCTCTTTTCACTGCAGGAAGTGACTGACCACAGTCTCTTTGCTTTGGACCGCTATACAGGACAGATCAGAACACTTCGCTCATTCACAGAGACAGACGAGGCTGAGCATAAACTGCTCATACTGGTCAAAGACAACGGCAACGTTTCTCTCTCAGCAACAGCTACTGTGATAGTCAAACTTGTGGAGCCCAAAGAGGCTTTTGCAGCTTCTGATGTTAAAAGTGCGGTAAAAGATGATGAAGACAGTAATGTCATATTTTACCTCATGATAACTTTGGGCGCAGTTTCTGTACTTTTTCTCGTCAGCATCATCGTGCTGATTGCAATGCAGTGCTCCAAATCCACAGACTATACTTCTAGATATTTGCAAAAGACAAATTATGACGGGACACTGTGTCACAGCATCCAGTACAGATCAGGAGAGAAGCGGTACATGCTAGTTGGACCCAGAATGAGTATAGGATCTACTATAGTTCCGGGCAGTCATGCAAATACTCTAGTGCTGCCTGACAGGAGAAGGACATCTGAAGAGGTAAGAGATATTAAGATGTTTTTATTTTATTTTACGAAATAAGCATATTTCTATTCATGAATTTGTGATGGCTTAAGAAATCTTACGTACTCATAACCAGACCTCTTACAAAAAACCCTAATGTGTTTCTGGCAACATATGCAGTATTTTATGTCCTAAAACATTTTTCCACGTTTGTCATATTTTGAAGCTTCTTAACCTGACACTTAGCAGTTTATAATATACTTATGTTCATGTAATATATGTAAATATCAATCCTTACGCAACCATCTTAATGGGCCGTAGCTTTCCTTGTGGTTTGTAATTGCTGTCCATGGTGCTGAAAAGGATTCCCATGCTTTCTCTGTTCCTCGAATATTACAAGTACAAAAAGAAAACCTACAGTTTGTAGATCATTTAACGAATTGTTTTGGCTTTAGAAAATAACGTTAGATCATTTCCTGAAAGTTCGTGGTTTTGTTTTTTTTTTTGTTTTATTTTATTAGGGGAAGCATTGAGATCTCTTATTGACTCTGGACACCACGTCTTTATCTTGTCTTGTGGCTTGACAGTATGAGTTGTAGCCAAGTATAAAACAATTTTGCATTAAACAGATGTGATAAAAACTGGACTAATTCTCTGCTGTGAGACACCTGCTCGCATGGTGTCAGTGTGATAACAAAAATCAGCAGCTCAAGATGTTGTCGTCATAGCTTTGTAATCCGTCCTCCTCACACCAGCCTCAGTACAACATTAGCGCAGTTTTTCTGTTCTTATTCTAGTCTGCGTTTGCCTCATTGTACCTGTTTAAAAGGGGAGTATTTGTAATCAGGTAACCCCTGGAGTCTTTTTTTAAAGGTCAAAAAACTATTTGTGATGGATTACTGGTGATTTTGGATAGAACCATGGAACAAAGAAAACGCCAGTCGGAAATGAGGAGAGGATGTCTGGTAGGATGTGTAGCTGCTGTGCTTTTGTGGACTGTAGCCTCAGCGCAATTACGATATTCGATCTCTGAAGAAGTTAAAGAAGGAACTATAGTTGGAAACATAGCAAGAGATCTGGGATTAGATAAAAACACGTTGAAAGACCGGAAGTATCGGATTGTTTCAAGTAACGATGATCCCCTTTTCTACGTGAATCCAAACGATGGCGTTCTGTATGTGAGTCGGAAGATTGACAGAGAAGAGGTGTGCGTGCAGAGCAGTGCGTGTGTGATAAATGTGAAAACAGTGCTAGAAACCCCACTGGAGGTCCACTATGTTGAAGTGGAAGTTTTGGATGTAAATGACCATTCACCTACTTTTTCGGAAAACAGTGCTACACTGGAGATTTCAGAGTCAGTGTTGCCCGGGACACGATTTCAGCTGAAAGCCGCCCGGGATCGAGACAGTGGTCAGTTTTCAGTGCAGCGATATATAATAAGCAACAACGAACATTTCCGTTTGGAAGTTAAGGATAAACGAGATGACGTAAAAATACCAATTTTAGTTGTTCAAAAATCTTTAGACAGGGAAACTGCAAGAAGCCATTCACTAATACTGACAGCACTTGATGGGGGTAAACCACCGAAATCTGGTAACATGAATATTCTCGTAAATGTTTTGGATATTAATGATAACGCGCCTATTTTTTCTAAAGAAGTTTATTCAGTGACACTAAATGAAAATGTTCAGGTAGGAACACCAATTATTCAGGTAAATGCAACAGACTTGGATGATGGCCCTAACGGAGATGTGGTTTACTCATTTAGCAACAGTATGCATCAAAACATATTAAGCATTATTGATATTAATTCACTAACAGGACAATTAACTGTTAAAGGTTTAATAGATTATGAGGAGCAGGACGGATATGAAATAGAAATCCAGGCATCAGACAGAGGCCTGGCTCCTCTAACCACAGAAAAAAGTGTAAATATTAAGATAATTGATGTGAATGATAACGCACCTGAGATTGAGGTAACATCATTTTCAAGCTCAATACCAGAAGATTCCAGACCTGGAACTACAGTAGCTCTTATTAGTGTAAATGATTTGGATTCTGGTCTTAATGGAAAAGTGATCTGCAGTGTAAATGAAGATGTACCGTTCATTCTATCAACATCCTTAAAAGACAAAATGTTTTCATTAGTGACCAAATCCCCTCTGGACAGAGAGAAACAGTCACAATATGAGTTGACAATAACGGCAAAAGACGCAGGTCAGCCACAGTTATCATCTGAAAAGACAATAAGCGTTACGGTGTCAGATGTGAATGACAACAGTCCAGAGTTTTCACTCAGCCCATATACTTTCTATGTTACTGAGGGGAATAATCCAGGAGCTTCAGTGTTTTCTGTTAAAGCCTCTGATCGTGATGAGAATGACAATGCGCGCATTTCCTATCATATTATCAGAGACGGAAGTGAAGATAATAAAGTCACTTCAAGCAACAACGTCACAATCAACGTCTTCATCCTGGATCAGAACGACAACGCTCCAGTCATCCTGTATCCACTCAGCTCCAACGGTTCTGCTCAAGGCGTGGAGGAGATTCCCCGAAACGTCAACGCAGGACACTTGGTGACTAAAGTCAGAGCCTATGACGCTGATATAGGATATAACGGTTGGTTGCTCTTTTCACTGCAGGAAGTTACTGACCACAGTCTCTTTGCTTTGGACCGCTATACAGGACAGATCAGAACACTTCGCTCATTCACAGAGACAGACGAGGCTGAGCATAAACTGATAACACTGGTCAAAGACAACGGCAACGTTTCTCTCTCAGCAACAGCTACTGTGATTGTCAAACTTGTGGAGCCCAAAGAGGCTTTTGCAGCTTCTGATGTTAAAAGTGCAGCAAAAGATGATGAGGACAGTAATGTCATATTTTATCTGATGATAACTTTGGGCGCAGTTTCTGTACTTTTTCTCGTCAGCATCGTGGTGCTGATTGCAATGCAGTGCTCCAAATCCACAGACTATACTTCTAAATATCTGCCAGAGACTAATTATGATGGGACACTGTGTCACAGCATCCAGTACAGATCAGGAGAGAAGCGGTACATGCTAGTTGGACCCAGAATGAGTATAGGATCTACCATAGTACCTGGCAGCCATGCAAATACACTTGTGCTTCCCGACAGGAGGAGAGCATCCGAGGAGGTAAGACATTTGCGTCACATTTCCTGGTCTCAATCCTTACTTATGTAACGTGAGGGTTCACTAGATGGTTTGGAATCTCTCTGAATAGTTAGGAACCCAAAGATGGAGACGGATAACTTTTTAGCAGCCACTTTACTCTCAGCACACCGCAACAACCACCCACACTTCCTGTGTGCCGCCCTCATGAATACTTCTCTGACCTCTCAGAAGCCAGGAAATCTTAAACTCAGATCAAAACAGGGAAAACAACCAGGTAGATATAACACATACTTATTACTGGTTTGAACATGCATGTCTAAATATTCAAACATGTAAACATGTAAATATCAAAACACGTAACCACCAAATAGCTACATAACTAGCTTTATAACCTTTGTAAACACCTATTTGTATATCAAATTAGATTTAAGTTTACTTCTACACTTTACACTTACATTTGTTTTATTAGTAGCGCGTCTGGAATGAAATTAATGGCATGCTTCGTAACGAAATAACCATTTATGACGACAAGGTCGTGAATATTTACTATTCTTAAAGTAATCAAAAAACAACTTTTGCAATTTGTCTTTGAACAGTGATGAACGTGGGATTTCTTTTCCACAATCTCCACTGTTTTCTCTTCTTTTCCGTTTCCTTCTCTTCTATTCCCAACCTTCTTTTGCTTAAAACACTGGCATAAATGAAATAAGGAGCCTGAGTAATCCAAAAGCCTCAGCATGTGTCAGGCAGCACTGTAGTGCACAGCATTAGCAGTTCTTTATTGGACTCGCTTGATTGAGTTTCTATTGAACTGAAATATTTTTTTATACTTACTGATGTTAACGCAGCGTGTTGACTCATATCACTTTATTTTGTCGTGTAATAACTGTTTCTTGTATAATGTTATGTAGACCCTTCTGATGTTTTTGAGATTTGTGTCACTTTTTTGTCAAACATGAAAAAATCTGTTATAATATTTTTCCCTGCAGTGAGAACGCAGATCGCGTGGTGTCAGTGCAATCCAAACAGGAAGCCTTGGACGAGTTTCCCATCAGGGTTGTTTGGTTCCATTTCGTTTATCGCGGCCGTTGTTGAGCTTACTACCTTGTTTCTTTGGCATTATGTCCGTCATTGTAGACAGAAGATGAGTATTTTCATATAAGGAACGTTTGGATTTTGTCGTTATGTTGCAGCAATCGATTATCTGAAGGCATACTTGTGATCTAGGGTGTAACCATGGAACAAAGAAGACACGAGAGGCGAAGTGGGAGAGGATCTTTCCTTGGCTGCATGGCTGCTGTGCTTTTGTGCACTGTGGCTTCGGCGCAGATGCGATATTCTGTCTCGGAGGAGGTTAACGAAGGGACTGTGGTAGGAAACATCGCAAAAGATCTGGGAATAGATAAAAGCACATTAAAAGAGAGAAAGTATCGGATTGTTAATAGTGATGTAGATCCCCTTTTCCATGTAAATCCAAATGACGGTATCCTGTATGTGAGTCGGAAGATTGACAGAGAAGAGGTGTGCGCGGAGAGCACTTCGTGTTTAATAAATCTGAAAACTGTACTAGAAAACCCGCTGGAGATACATTACGTTGCAGTGGAGGTGTTGGATGTAAATGACCACTCTCCTCGTTTTCCACAGGAAGAGAAAAGGCTGGAAATTTCAGAGTCTGCGTTACCCGGTGTACGTATACCGTTACA